TCTTTCCCTGGGTTAACTTTTATAAAGTATTGCCAGATGGGATAGATTTTGTACTCGGGCTGCCCCTGGAAAAATATGTTGTCTCTCAAAGGCTTTATTATCAAATCCTGGAGTTTTCAAGGCAAAAAAGAAAGGCAAAGGTGGGGTGGGGGAGAGACAGACAGATGAATGGACAGAGGCATTATTCTATAAATTAAAATTTATGTGCTGAAATCAGAACACCGCTAGCAAAGCCAGCTTCATTTATCCGGTCCCTTTCAAGGAGTTTAAAGTCACTTGAAAGAGCACTTCCCTCCCAGCCGCGCTCGACAGATTGCCAATTACAGCCCTGCTGAGAGGATGGAATTTCTTTGAATCACAACTGTACGTCTGCCCTCACAGTAACGGGCAAGGTACGTGCCTTTTGATTAGGTTATAAAAAAATATCTCTAAACTGGAAACCTTTGTTTCCACACATCTGAATTTGCTCAGTATCAAAAAAATAGATAAGCTTGTGTTTACATCAAGTTGACAAATTCAGAGGTTAATTGCTTTTAAGCAGGCAGGTCAAAAGGATACCTAAACAAGGATCCTACTTAAGGAAAACACATGTTTGTAAATGCAATACAAAGAGCTTTCAAAGATATTAAGGGGAGATACAGCATTGTCCATGCTAGGTAGATCTGTGCAATCTGGCACCTACAGAAAGTGTAGTCAGACATGCAGTGGCAGTCTGAAAACCTACAGTAAAAATTAGTGAGAGAGGAGGAAAATATCTGTCAGGTGGCTTCAGTTTAAAAGTCAAGTATCTGATCTAAGTTAGTCATCTAGACTACATCTATAGCCAACAGGAGCCTCCAGTATGCCATTTATCCCACCTATCTGAAAAAATATCTCCCAGGAAGGAGCAAACCACCCTGTGTAGATGCTGATTTCGCTTTACTAAAGAGAGAAAACTAGACTTCTAGTGTACACCAACTGCCTAAATGTTGGATGGCTTATATTTGGTGAGATTAAGCCCATCCCTGAGAATTGAGTAACTTCAACATTTCATGTTAGAGGATAGCAATATTATCAGTACTTATGCATCGCTCAAGAGAAATAGCCATGTGTTTAAAATCTGACTTCAAGAGGATACAAATACTTCAGTCCTAGATGTAGTTCCTTAACTTCACTACAAGTACTCTCAGCTTAAAAGGAAGCACACACTTGAGAATCCCAGAGCTCACATCCTGATCTCTGGGCAGTACGTAACTGCTCCTCTGGATTCAGCTGCACAGCCACACGTCTTCCCACTGCTACAACATCGAAGTTACAGCACTGGCTGCTAAAGGCCAAATGCTGACTCTGCTTGGAAAGGCTGGAGGAGCTGTATAGCTGCTATAGCTCTGCTCTACGTAACTCCTTCCAATGGACTACAGTCCAACCAAGAAGCTGACTTCCACTGCCCATCTTTCAGGCCAGGAATTAAACATAAGAACCCATGAAAGGCTGCTCTACTTTCCAGAAAACGAAAGGGAAACAAACCAGAAACAGAATGGAAAACTTCCCAGAAACAAGAGAAAAAACTGCCTCTGGGTTTGTCACCACAAAGTGCTGCTTCTCACTGACGGACAACACCCTCCATCGCGGATCTTGCCTGGCTCTGCTGCAGATGCACCGCTCCTCCGTCTGTCGGGCCAGATGGGAAAGTCTTGCTCCCAGGGGATTTTATTGTCTGCTTCTTAAAAATTCTGTAATCTTTTTAACTTTTACAAATGTTTTAACTCAGTAAAAAATACTTAAATAAGGACGAGAAGGGCAATTGGTCAAAGGACCGCAGCATGTTTAATCTTTCTCTTTCTGTGTTCCCGTGCACATTTGAAATAACTTTTGTTCCATTTGCTACCCACATGCTGACACAGCATCCCTCCCCTTTTCTGTTCCCAGATCCTGTTATGAGTTTATTCAATAAAAAGACAGATATTCATCTCTTTTCAAGTACAAGAACATGCTTTTGAATAACTCAATATGCGATACTGTAACAGTACTCCAAGCCAGCCCTTTTTTTAATCAGTTGTATCAACTCCCAGAGCAGAGCTGCCATACACATATCATCACCTTGCGCGTTTACCTCATGGGTATGTAAATATGTAGGGCTAAATTCAGGCTGTCTGATCTGCACGTAGGGGAAGAAGTGATCCCCAGGGACAAGGGTGCCCAACCTGGGTCTCTCCAAACCTCTGGAATCCACACACCAGGTCCACCATGCAACCGCCCTCATTGCAGCAGCAGACCTCTTGGCCAATGTCTTTTAGCATGTAACTGGCCCAAACACCGCAGCTAGAGCTGGGATGTTACTGGAAGAAGGAAGGAAGGAGGAGGTTTTTCTACAGAGTGACACTCTATAGATATATAAACAAACAAACAAGCAAATCAGGGAGGAATGCCCCTGGCTTCATGCTCCTTGCTGTAGGACCAGGGAGCAGCTCCCAGAGGTAGGAATTAGCAGGCTTCCCAGCTGTGTCCCAGGACGAAAGGAGTTAGAGGGGGAAGACAGGATGAGGAAACAGGAACAATAAGCCAGTGACCAGACTGACAGGAAAGCATGCAGACATGGATAGGAAGTGGACATTGGGATTAAGGGGGGAAAAAGCAGCGACAACAGGACCAGCAAGACTAACGGGCAGGTAAGGGAGGACCAAAGGCTTAGAGGAGACAAGACTGGTCTTGCACGGTCCAGGGAAAATAAAGCATACAAGGACTGGTTTAGAGGACAGAGACAGCAGACTGGTGAGTGATTCAGTGAGGGTGAAATTAAACAGGAGCAAGGAGATGAAGTGATACATGCCACAATGTCCCCCTTGCCATGGACACTGTGTTTAAGACACAGATGAAGAAGCTCCTCCAGGCAAAGGGTTATGCATCTGTGAAACGCTGGTGGTTCGGAGGAAGGTAGTTCTCTTTGTTAAAAGATGGGTTACACTAGGAGTAAGAGTTTGTTTGGTGCATGATCTCAAGAAACATGAACATCAGGTCTGTAAGAATGTAACAGAGCAGTCAGGGAGGAGAATCACATTCACTAACCTTCATATATGGTGATGATATGAGGGTGGCTGAGGGATGACATGATCTCAATCTCCCGTCTGATGTGAACCATATCTTGTTCATCCTTAATTTTGTCCTTACGAATGGATTTTATTGCAACCTACAAATTCAGGAAACCAAGCATTATTCTTGGAACTGAACAGATGCATATAATCCATTAAGGACAGTTCAAAAAATACAGATGTTAGATATTGGCAGAACATGGAATGACCAAAACAAAGCTTTAAAATACAAACCTCCAGGCCGCAGCTCCTTCATTCTATAGCAATAAATACATACACTCTCATTATAGTAATGGGTGACACAAAGTTTTAACATCTTCAGGTCTTAGGACTTCCCCGAGGGGGAACACGGCATCTTTTGGAAGGACCTCTGTGTTAGCCTAAATACTCTCCATCTGAGGCAAATGGCAAACTCCCAAAAGATTTTGATGGGAAGTACATTTGCTTAGACATGATTGCATCTGACAATTTCAAACAGAAGCTTTGGAGACAATGTCTCTAACCTAAGGTTGAGATCTCTGATGCAAAGGAGGCAGGGAATCCAGGGTACAGATTACAAATTTATATTTGTCCATGCTAAAACATTGAGGATCACATTAACAAGGGTTGTTGCATGGTTCTCTAAAGCAGGCAAACTGCTCAGGAGTTATGATTTATTTAAAAATCAGAAGAAATAGATCTTTGCAATTCACATCTAAAATCATCCTCATATAAAGCTAAGGACTTTCAGGTCCTACACAGCACTTATGCAATCACTGCAAAACCATATCCTTCCTACATCCTTCCTCAATCAGCAACCTTTTTTCAAGCACATCGTGTGACTGGGTATCTTTCCAAAAGGCAGGGTGGGAACAGAGGAAGTGATAACTGAACTTGCAATACAAATTCAAATGATAATAGCCCTTGTGAGTATGTCTGTGTGCCGCCTGTGAAAAAGGGCTTATCTGAACAACACCATAAATAATCATGGAGGTCAGCTCATGTCCTAAGAGAAATGCAGAAGCCAACAACAGAGAGAAGCTGGTGGGAGAGGGAAGGTGAGGGCATTGTGCATACTGAATGGCAGCACGGCCTTTATTATACTCAATATTTACTCTGCTTTATTTTTGTAAGACAGAGTTCAAGGAATAAATTACCAGTTAGTTTCAAATCAACAATACGTCTTTGAAAAACACCACTGACCTGCTGAGATGACCACCCTTTTATGAGTAAACAAAACTTTCGTCATTCTATGCAGCCATCTACTGTGGACCTCTCCCAGGAAAACATTTGTAAATCTGTGATTTATGTGATTTTCCTAGTTCCTTCAGAAAAAGATAATTTCACTGCCTACTTCAGTAACTGCAAGTGGCAGGACCAGTATTGTTTTCATTATATGATGTAGCATCAAGAATATTGAAGAAAGAAGGGAAAAACTTACAATATTATGAAATTGAAATGTACATAAACAGGAGCTAGTTTAAAAGATCAAGTTTCCTACAAGGCCTTCAACTCTGAAAAGCAACATTGTTCAAAAAAGCATTAAGCACATGTCCCATCCCCTCGAATTCCCCAAGATTTCAGCACATGCTTAAAATTAAGCTCATGCTCAAGTGGTATCCTACTCTGGGACAGCAGAACAAAAAGCAGAACTCAAGGGACAAACTGATTTGCATATCAATACCAAAACAACTCTTTTCTTCCTCTTGACCCACACATTTGGTATAGAAATTTTAAAAGTAACAACATAACCGTGGTCTTATCTATATGGCATATATTTCTAGAAAATGTAATTAAAAAGATTTCAATTGAGTGATCAAGCAAGTAATGCTAGAGATGGAGAAAGCAACTAACAGTAAAGATGAGGTTGGATTTTTTCCCCCTTCCTATGTTTGCACTGGGACAGGCTGCAAATGCAAATACACCCTGTATACAAGGAGGGTGGGGGTGGGCCTTGG